GATTTTAGAATATCAAAACAGTCTAAGCAAATATTTCTCTTTCTCAAGATAATATGGCAAACTATCAGAGAATCGATGCCCTTCGTACATCAAGAACAGATTGGAGGATTAGAGCATTCGTTGTTAAAAGGTGGGAAGAAACTATTCCAGGAGCAGATGTTTTCTTGCACTACATACTTACAGACGAAAGTGTAAGTGATTCCATCTAATAATATTATAGAACATTTAATAATAGATAGAGATCTATTAAACTTGAGTTCATCTTTTTGAAATTTAACAGAATCGAAAAATTCATGCATCTGTCAAACGGGAATATTTCAATCCTTCTTTCAAAAGAAATCTTCACGAAGGAGAATGGAAAGAAATCGAAGATTTCGTGGTTGTTAGAAAAGTTTCTCCTTTCAGATTTTCAGAGTACCACTTGGAGATGGTTTTGGTTGAAAATACCAAAATAAGACCGGTGGAAAATGATAACCCACCGAAGTACATGAAGTTCAAGAAACTTCAAGATGTCTTTCTCGGAGATATCTGTACAGCGTACCCTGTTGGTAAGTGAATTATCTTTCAAATACAAGCGCAGATTTATAAGAGATTAAATAAATATTTTAATTAATACTAACCAAACATTTTTCCCTTAAATTCAAAGATGTGATAGGGCAAATTGACTACGTTGGTGTTCCTGAGTTAGTTCCAAATGTGTTGTTGTATGGAGAAAACACAACAAAAACAACATCAAAGATCAGGTTTGGATTAGAAGACGAAATGTAAATTAACTATTTTAAAAAGTATTTTACTACGAAAGAATTGAATATGAAATAAAAATGTCAAAATTTCAGGGAGCTTGGATTGATTTGTGTGGCATATGGTACGTTGGCTGATCAAATTAATGACCTATGCTAGACTCATGGAATTGTCATTGATATGGTCAAAATATGTGTCCTAACAGATTGGAAAATTATCGACATCAACAACGAAGGTAAAAATACAATAAAAAATATAATGATTTCTTTGTATATACATTTACTTAATTAAGCTGATTCTGTTCAATAGGTGAACATCAACTGGTGGGAATTGAAGGACCGTCTCGGTTTGAGGTGGATGTTGATATACCAGAGGTCAAACAGTTGAGAGAAACCATGTAAGTTAAATTCTTACATAAAACAAAGATGCTTTACAAAGTAAAAGAATATCTATCTAGCTTCTAAATATATTTTTTTAAATAACAGTCTCGCGAAAATCCGCAATGAATATGACGATGAAAGCTCGGAAGATTCTTGATAAAAGTTTAGATGTGGATAGGTGCTGCAAGCGTGAAGAAGAAGAAGATTTCAATAAATCATGTTATTTCGGTTGTTGTTTTTTATATTTGAGAACACTTTCTTATTATTTATATGACTTATTTTCATTTTAAAATATACATATTATGAAACAAAAATTACGATTCACGGAAAACTAAACAAAAAACACATATATTGACAAGAGATTTACACATATAGTAAATAATACGAACACATACTCATAGAACATAAATTTTTATAAATAATACTTCGGATTTTAGACATAATTTATGTAACCCGTCATTCTTAAAGCGAATATATAAAGAGAAGATTCTGAAATTGACAGTAAATTAAATTTACTTCTTAGCCCAATGACTTCTGGCATAATTAAAAATACTTTCAGAGACATGAGCAGAAAAACATTTGCATGCTTCATTAAAAAAAGTTGAAAAACGACTAAAATAAATAATAGAGACGGTCAGAGAAATGAATTAAGTCTACTATTTCAAAAAAAATATAAGAAGTCAATGAAATAATAATGACAATTTATGAAAACACAAGATTCATCTTCTCAAACAGTCTTTGTTTTTTCCCAATGTATACAAATTAATTTTTAAAAAGGAACATTGATCGAACAAAAAAATAGAGGAGAATAGCGATAAACACAGATTACAAACACAACTAAAAACAGAGAGAAACAGACTCATTTTCTTTCCAAAGAGAGAAGATTGTAATAAATCATTTTCTTTACAATTTGGTTTCTATATTTCAGAGACCTTTAATAATATTTATAAGACTCATTTTGATATCAAAATTTCAAGATTATGAAACATAATTTTAATACAGGAAAATTAAATAAAATGTCAAACATATTCCAAAGATAAACAAGATATTAGAAAGATCAAATATTATTATTATTACAAAAAATTGCAATTTCAAGGAATATCATGCCCGCGCTGGTCGCGGGCGATCCACCTAGTATTCATTGTTAAAGTTAACATTGATTCAAAACATTACGATTGGTTGAAGAAAATTTGTGCAAAAGAAACAGAAAACTAAATTAAAATGTGCAAATTTAACCCTTATTTTAATTTTGTGCAAATTGAATCCTCATATTAGTTATGTGCAAATCAAACACATATTGAAATAAAATTAAGTCGAAATCTCATAACCAATTCATTGACTTTTAAATGAAAATTTTCTTTTCCTAACAAATGAAGATATTTTCAAATTTGAGACTAATGCTTTGAAGTTTGAAAGACAAAAAAAAAAAAAAAAAAAAAATCTTGGACACTAGCCACCAGAGCCTTGAAAATTTCTAAAACTTCTTATCTAAAATTTCTGAAACTTTTAAATCGGACAAAGCTTCTAAATCTCGCTGGATTTATGAACTTAAGAAACAAAAATCATTAATGTCGTTGAGTTTTGGAGATACATATCACTTTTCAATATTAAGTGTGAAACAACCAAGCCCTTTAAAAAAAAAAAAAACAATTTAGCGGAAGTCTTAAAACCAATAAATTAAATAATAAATCAAACATCAGTATTCAGCGGACTCAAATAACATAAGTCAGTAAAAGAGTACTAGCAACCTAAACTCCATGTACTAGCAACTTAAACAATATAAAAACAGTAAAACTATCATCCTCTTATTCGGCCTAGATTATGCGATCACGTAAACCTTTTACCTTCAACGCAATACAAAATAGTTGCGTAAGTATTATCATAAATATTTAGTAAGTGGGATCATCCAACCTACATGCCAATTACGTGAGGCACTAGACAAATAAACAGCAATAAACAACAAACAGTCGAACAACAGCAACAAAATCACTCTGTGTCGAGCGACACACGAGCTCTGGTGTCGACCAACACCAACTTGGTTTCGCTCGACACCGACTTGCAGACCCGAGCCCCAAATCATGAAATCAACACAGAAACAGTAAATTAACAGGATTCAACACCCGAAATTGATCAAATCGCCGCCATGACTCAAAAACAGCTCAAGAACAATTCAATACCACATCACACAACAAAATCATAGTGAAACACGAGCCTATGGTCACGCACTCACCTCTAAAAACGGATTGAAAGGGGAAAAAGAGATGAAGCAACAAAGAACAGCAACAAACAGCTACAGATTCGCCCATCAAAGAACAGCAACAAACAGCTGAATTCAGCTCAAGTGGAGGCCAAGATCAAAACATCCCAACTCAACCAAAACTTGGAGATCACACTCAACTCGTATAGTGTTTGCCACGAAGAAGAACAAGCCAAGAAGGATTCCATATGAAAAAGATATTGGAGATACAATTTGGCAGATACATACGATCACTCAACGAATTATTATGGCCAAACCAGGATGAACCGAATAACAAATTAAAAAAAAAAAAAACTGGATTATTAACTCAACAGAATAAAAAAAACAGTGAATTCTTGACCAAATTCATTTTGGTTTAAGAGTTACAGGTGGTGTCACGCACGCTTGTGCGGGAATGAATTTTTCATAGGGAGATTTGTGAATATAAGCTAAAAAACTCCCTAATACACTTTTAAAACTTACTACCATGTAAAATGTTAATATGTATGAAATAATTATTTTTAAATGCCTTTTACAAAAACAAAAAATTATAACAAATGAAGAATAATATGGAGAATGTTAAACCATTTTTTATAAAAAAGATGTGTTAAACATATGTTTTTAAAAATTTAAACGTTTTCAAATATTCAAAGTAGAATTCATATTCTACTTGCTGTTCTATTTTCTAAAAATAGAAGAATATGATTTCTACGTTATTTTCAGTAGTCTACTAGAACATACGGTTTAACTTATGTTCACGTTTTTACTAGTGGTAGAAAATGTATTCTGACTTATGTTCAAATTTCTACCATTCAAAGAAAAAAAATTATACATATATTATATTTTCTAAGGTTTAGTAGAAAATGTTGTCTGACAATTTCACCGAT